TTTACTAGAAGTTGGATCAACATCAACAACAGAACAGTAAAGCTAGGTCAGAAGAAGCATAGAAAGGCAACAAAGAAGGATACATGAAAAGCCGCCACACTAAAGTAGTAGTAGAAGTAGTAGAAATGTTATCGACAGTATGGATATTATCAACAATGACAGTAAAACAAGCGCAGAAATAGAGGTATTAAAATTGTTGACCAGCAGCAAGGATAATGATACATGCCATAATGAAGTATCGAATGATTGTTGAACTCGAGGAAAATAGATAACAAAGACTCATCATACATTCATCGAAGTGAGGCATACATTATCATCACCACTGATGAACCTTTAACAATAGTAGTAGTAGATAATCTTCTGCTACTATTATTAAAGACGGCTGCTGCCACGACGATCTGTATCAATATTGCCGCTCGTCGGTGGTCCATCTGATAATAGAATAATGACAGTGAATATGATCAAGTGCTCACTTACCTCTACCACTGCTGCTACCAGTTCCACTGCTTTGACTAGTAACACCGTCAACAGACTCATCATCAGTTGCAGCAAGAGCTTCCTCATCCTTAACATCATCTGTTTTCTCTTCTTCGTCGTCACTTTTGGACTTCGCAACTGCTAATTCCGCATCTTCTTCCGCTTGGCGTTTCTTAGCTTCACGATCAACACGGTTGAAGTAAGGCATAAGCGCTAAACACATGATAGCTCCAACAACACATATACCAGCCAGAAGGAGGTAATAGTAATCGTAATGGGAACCATAGTACATAACAGAATTGGGATAATCTGATGGAGTAAAATCAGGCATCCAGGGAGAACATACTTGAAATATGGCACCAGCGATAAAATTGGCAATAGCGAAGAACAGCAAGTTGATCGCCGATGATACTGCTTTAAGATGGCTTGGTGAATATGTAAATGCAACTTCGTATGATGTTGATGTAAGGAATATCTCACCAGCTGCAATTACCCAGAATTGTGGTACTTGCCACCATACTGATACCGTATATAATGGTCTATACATTATAGCATATTCAGCAGCAAGAGAAAGTAGTAATGATGCAGCACCCATCAAGGATCCAACACACATACGTGTAAGAACAGACCACATCTTGCCTCTAGATCTGAGCCACGAATAAAGCAAACCATCAATCAAGAGGGAATTAACGATAATTGCAACACTATCGATATTCTGCATCAATGCTGCAGCATATCCCAACCAAATGTATCAAGATTCATCTTCTCAGCTTGAGTAAGCCATGCAGTAGTCATTTGATCA